TGGTACTATGGGTGGAGCGAGGGGATACCGCTGCAGGTGCTTTCCCCAGATGAGGGCATCGCAAACTCCACTGATGGTTTTTTGAGCGTATACCTATACCCTTTCGCATTTGTTCCCCCTGATAGGGTTGTGCTTGATTTTTTCTCAAAGTATCGGGTTATCCTGGCACAGATTAATCCTTCATTTTGGCAAATGGCGTTGATGATGAGATTCTTCGCGAAGAAAGTCGGGCTTGAATTCACGCTTGACTATCTTTTCAGGCTATATCGGCCCTTTCATCATCGAGGCCTGCTAACCCTGAGGTGTCATTCGTCCACACCCTTTGTTGGTGATGACGAGGAAGGCGGAGATCGAGTGTGGGCCAATTGGTTTATCCGGGTCCGGACAACCGCTATTATCCCTGTAGAGTTTTTGCCATTTCCCGAAGGGTGGAATCATGCACGTAAGTGAGGCGTTTGGTGCTTTTTTAGATTTCGCATATAGCAAAAACCAGCTGAGTAATAATGTTATCTCCCTTGTTGCAGCAACTTCATGGATGCCGGGTGAAGTCCATGACCTGCCCGGCTGGGTCCGGAGGTTGGTGACCCATTCATCCTGCGACGAGCGCAGGTGGCGAGCTATGCTTCATACCAGATGGGGAGCACAGTACCAAGGTATGTGTGTAAGCTGCCTTTGCCTTCGTATACCTGAGGTAACACTATCCCCTTTCAATTGCACTGGATTTGCCATTTGCAGATATCGGGTGGTTCTTTGGGATGAGGCAATGTTTTTCTGAAGAGGGGAAGGGATCGTTGGCCTCCGGGCCGAGGGACGACAGCAATAAGAGGGATCGGCACCCGCAGTGCGATGGAGCCTTTAGCGGTGTTGGTCGGGCTCACATTTCCGAGGAAGGGGCGTCTCCCGAGTCTTCTACTCACGGAGTGCCTGACACCCGGCCGGCGATTCCTTTGAGCGATCATGCCATGCCCGAGGTCGGTTATTCTAGGGCTGCATGGGCAGGATCAACAGGAGTGTGCTCTGACTTCGAGAAAGTCTGTCGGCTTCACTTTGTGGTGAGTTTATGTATAGTTTCCCTATATCTTGTGTCCTCCTCCCTCTATTGAAACTTTCTTGTGCAGGCCTGTGATAGGCTTAGGTCTAAGCTGCTTCGTTAAGGGGCCAAGCTCCAGAAGATTCTAGATGAGGGCGAATCCCTTAGGCTTCTTAGCAAGGAGAAGGAAGGTGATCCGCAACATTGGCGATATGAGGCGTACCGGAGCTCAAACTATGAGAGCTATTTGATGGAGGATGTAACTTCTTGTAGTACATGTTTCTCTCCTTTCTAACCTTAAGGCTAACTCCTCTTTGCCGCATCAGTTGCAGAAAATGGTGGAGGCCTTGGAGTACCTCAAAGACGACATCAATCACGTCAGAGTTTCTTGCGAGGAGCTAAGGGCTCAAGTGCAGGCTCGAGTTTTAGAGGAGATGAGCGCCTCGGCTAAGGTCCCTGCCTTCGAGGTCCAACTCAACTTGACTTATGACAACACCAAAGTTCAAGCGGATATGATTAGGAAACTTGAATCTGATCTCACAAAGGTCAGAGCCGAGATAATTAATGCCCGGGCAGAAGCGGTATTAAGCCGAACCAAGGCTGATCGTGAGATGTAGATTCATACGAAAGATGATATTGATGCCCAAGCTGAGCTTAAGCGAGCCCTCGACCGGGAGAAGAGGATTGACGACTGTTCACTGTAGATCCCGGAGAGATGTACTCGAGGAGGTCGGTGCAAAGGCTTCATTTTCTTGGAGGAGTTGGCTCGAGCAAGGGCGGACGAGCATGACTCTCAGTCACTTCTTGTTGATGCTGTGGAGGGAGAATTTGACAAGCTATAGCCCTTTATCTCAGAATGTAGATTTTGCCGTTTTGTCGCTTTGCTTCTGATATACGTAGGGCATGCCTGTAGGTGGAGAATTCGCTTTTTCGCGCTTGTAATAGATAAGAAGAAACTTGAAGCTTTGTTTCTCCTGTACCATTTTTCTGTCGTTTCTTTCGATCGAGCAAACTGGTTTTGGTGTTTGGCGAGATCCTCGTAGGTCCGGAACTGATCGGACAGATTCGGGGGCTTTTAAGCGTGATTCTTGACGTGAGCAGGTGCTGGGGCCTCCGTGCTTAGCCGGGCTGTTTAGCCTTAGTTTCTGAGTCGGGCTCTGACTCAAGCCTTCTTGTCCTCGATTTTTTTGTGCCCATGAGGGTAGGTAGTAGTCGTTTTTATCTCTTGCCCTTGGGCATTTGCCGTTCCAACTGTTTTGGGTCCAGTCTCCGAGTCACATTGTGACTCGAGCTTTAATTGACCCTCAAACTCTTTCCTGCTTGCATGGGTGGCTAATGATGTCCCTTTGTGCTCTGGGTTGAAGTGACCATACGGGCGCGTGGCCCGGAGGTTTACTCGGCCAGCGATAGTGGCACTTATGCCATGCCCTTAGGCATATTGCAGCTTCCAGGTTCAGTCTCCAAGTCGCGTTGCAATTCGAGCTGTAATCGACCCTTAAATTCCCTTGAGTTTCCTAGCTAGCGATAGTGGCACTTATGTCGTGCCCTTAGGCATATTACAATTTCTGGGTCCAGTCTCCGAGTCGCGTTACGATTCGAGCTGTAATCGACCCTTAACTTCCCTTGAGTTTCTGGCTGGCGATAGTGGCACTTGTACCATTTTGGTCATTGAGACCTTTATTATGTGGCCTGGAGGCTTGCATAGTTAACTATTTTGGATCCGGCCTCCGAATCGGGTTACGATTTGAGCTCATTTTAAACCACAAGTTGTCAAGATTTTTGCTGGCAACAATGGCTCTTACGTTGTTTGGTCGTAGAGACTTTTCAATATGAGGTTCGTAGGCTTGCTTAGCTGGCGACAATGGCTCTTACACTGTTTTCGCCCGTGGGCTTTTTTGTAGGCTTTGTTTCCGCTCATTAAGGTTTTTTTAGAGTATTTTTGCCTGACCCGTCGTTGGTTCCAAAGGAACCTCGATTTCAAGTCATTATCGGCGATGTTTCAAGCACCTTGTAAGGTTCATAGCTTATAGGTCGAGTAGATCGACGCTCTTGCAATTTGGAGCCAACATGGTCTGAGCTTAGTTTTGCCTATTGAGGGAAGCCTGTTTTAACTGGTTCTTTCCGAAGTATATTTGCAGTAGTGGCCTGCGATTTTTAGCGGCAGTCAAGCATCCCCGAGTCGCGTTATTTTGGCTGTATCAGCTGTTTTGACCGTAGTCTTATGCGTTTGGCCGTAGCCTTTTTTGATCCCAAATGATAGTTTAGGCGTCTACATCAAGAGTATGCTCTTTAGGGATTCTTACAAATGCGATGTATAGCCTAAACTTCGGGATTTTCATGCCTGTTGAGGTCTTACAGTTTGTCATGCCTATTGAGGTCTTACATTTTGTCATGCCTATTGAGGTCTTACAGTTTGTCATGCCTATTGAGATCTTACAGTTTGTGATGTATTGAGGTCTTATAGTTTGTGTATATATCTGGTTATGCCGAGTTTGCCCGCTAGGGTCTTATAGTTTCGGATTTTCCATTGCATGGCGATTGGCGATAGTCTCCGAATCATCGAGTTTGTTTAAGCTTGAAGACCACTTCTCGTGAACTCGGAGTTACATTATGAGGGCTTTGTGAGCCCGAGGTTCCGTCCCTAGGGTCATGTAGGCGTTTGAACCGTTTAAGCCTCTGAGTATCTCGGAACGTATTCGGTGGCCTAACTGCAAAGGGAGTCTCGTAGGCCCTTCCAATTCTTCTTTAGGGAGTGTGTAGATGTCGCCTCGTTGGAGAATCCTGCCGGCAAGAATCCTGTTTCGGCATAAAAAACTCGATTGAGGGAAAAAGAGTGTGACGTTTGCTCGAGGGCTCCTGTGGGGTTTCATGATCGGATCCCCTAACAGTAATACCGCCTGAGCATCGACACATTCTAGTTGCTCGGGAGATGCTCACCTTCTATGGTGCCAAGCTTATAGGAGTCTTTGCCAACTATCTCGAGGACACGGTACGACCCTTCCCAATTCTGGCCTAGCTTCCCTTTATTGGGGTTTTGGGTGTTGAGAGTAACCTTTCTTAGGACCAAGTCTCCTATTTCGAAATATCGGAGGTTCGTTCTCCTGTTGTAGTATCTTTCGATTTTCTGCTACTCGACGGCCATCCGAACCAGGGAGGCCTCCCATCTTTCATCAAGCAGCTCGAGGGCCGTTGCCATGGCCTCGTGGTTTGATTTTTCTATGGCATGCTGGAATCTGGCGCTTGGTTCCCCGACCTCTATTGGTATTAGTGCTTCAGCACCATACACTAGATAGAAATGTGTCTCCCATATGCTTGATGTTTGAGTTATCTGATATGCCCATAGTACCTCGGGCTGCGTTTCTCGCCATTTTCCCTTAGCGCTTTCTAATTTCTTCTTCAGGTTTTGAATGATGGTTTTATTTGTGGATTCGGCCTGGCCGTTCGCACAAGGGTGGTATGGGGTTGAAAGGATCCTTTTGATATTAGTGCCCTCAAGGAACAATGTCACCTAGCTCCCGATGAATTTCCTCCCATTGTCGCATGTTATTTCGGATGGGATCCCTGTCATATCTAGGTGGGACCAGGCAAAAACAGTCGATATTATTACTAAGAAATTTAATAAACCATGTCCTGAGTTCGGCGGTCAGCCCCGTTCCCAAGTTTACCTTGCGATCTGGGAGGTTCTCGATCAGAACGATGTGCTCCAGCTCTTCGACTGTTGACTTGGTCGCATCTGATTCTTCGGGGGCGACGAAAGTTTGGGGGCGAAGAAATCTTCCTCATCGTCTCCAAGAGTCTGCATGCGTCTCTCCTTGTATGAGGCCGAGTGTATGGGGGTTCGCATTTCATGGTGGACCGCAAACATTTCCCTTGCTGCCCGTTGTTCTCCATGTATCGTCGTGATGTCGTCCATTGTGGGGAACCTTATCACCTGGTGCAAGGTCGAGGGCACTGCCCTTATATTGTGTATCTAAGGCCTGCCAAGCAAGGCGTTGTATCTTTTAACGTTGTCGATGACTTGAAACTTGGTGTTCTGGGTTGTGCCAGACGTGTTGATCGGGAGGGTGATTTCTCCTTTCTTTGCTTCTCCGATCATGTTGAACCCATGGAGGATTCGACGGATGGGAACAACTTGATCGAGCAACCCCAGCTGTTTTACTACTTCTAACCTGATTATGTTGGCCGAACTGCCCGGGTCCACAAGCACGCGCTTTATCCTTGTGTTGTTTAAGAGAAACGAGATCACCAGTGCATCATTATGCAGTTCCCCCATGGCCTCGAGATCCTCTTCGCTGAATATGAGGGTTTCTTTGGATAAGCGTTTTTGGGCCGGTCCCTCTTCTGTAGCGGATGTTTTCATTCGTTTGGACTTGGGTCCTTGGAGATCGTTAGTTCCTCCTATAATCATGTGGACACAATGCTGGGACCCCTCCATTTCGCTCGGATTGATCCCGGGGGTGCACTGGACACTAGGTTGGTCATGTCCTCTTCTCCGTCGCTTTTGTGGTTTCGGCTTATAATTTCACTAGTCGAGCCAGACGTCTTGCCCTGAAAGTGAAGATTCTAGGAAAGAAGACGTGTGAAAGATAACTCGAGTTTTTGCAGCAAAATCAGCAAGAAAATAATCACTATTATTTTTAGCCTCACGGTGGGCGCTAAACTGTTTACCGTGAAAATTATTACAACAATTAAATTTGTAAATGGGATTCTAAAATTACGTGATCTATTCTCGAGCTAGTTGTTAAAGCAATTTATGCTAAGAATGTAAAGTTTAACGATGGAGCTCGAGTTAAAAAGAGGCAGTAACCAAATCGAAGGGGGCTGTTGCCCGGGTGCATAGATGGTCGATTGGACCTCGGGGTCAGCATTAGTATCGATCTCGGACTATTAGGGGCAGTTGGAAATGGGATAACAGGCAGAGATATGATCAAGCAAGGCTCTATGTTACCAATATTGAGCAAAGTAGTGAAGAACGGATAAGAGAATGATAAATGCTAAAGCGGCCTCGGACCAATGAGAGCGAACAACTTAGAAGAAAAGAGAGAGAGATATTATTATACTTGTGGAGAAATGGAGCAATATCCGCCCCTTACAATGTAGGGCGAGTCCCCTTTATATAGAAGGGGAGACTCGGCTACAAGCAAGTGGAGATTAATTACAAAGTACGGCGATGGGATGGCTTGACGTGATGCCTCAGCATAGGCTCCAGATAGGTTGGGCCTGTCAGATGTAGCCATGTGCCTAGGGGGTTTCCCCCTCTATCCTGACTTCGTTCTTTATTTCCTTCGAGTGGCCTTCAACGAGCCCTGAGGCCGAGAACTCAGTCGCGGCCTCCCACCCTCGGGGTCCCGGGGCATGCTTCCGGAATGTCTTGATAGCGAGAAATCAAGTCTTTTGATTTCGCCGTGTACAAGCCCCATAGTAAAAGTAAATGACTCACAATCTTGATTGAAAGGTGGCCATCTAACGTAATATACATATAACAATTACGTGTAAGACATTTAGTAAGTTTGGATTCATTTGATCAAGTAAGAAATCACATAACCTTCTTCCTAATTCAGACATTTTTCAAAACAGATGTTAAACTTAATCCAACATGTTTTCAACAAAATTTCTTACAACAAAACATTTCCAACGAGAAATTATTAGCACCTTAGCAACGAAAGATTTTGCGATTCTAAAGGAATACGGTGCAACCTTTTCCACGAATATCATATGAATTTTTCCCTACTCCAGGTATATTAAGGTTATCCCTTCTTTCTTTTTGCCATGATCCAAAGATATAAACGAAACGAGAAAATGCACAGCTTTTATAAATGATGTTATTCATAGAAGTACTAGAGGTGTCTATGTTCTTGATTTCACATGTGACATATTATTATATATTTTGTTCATGGGTCTCAGAAAATGCGTAAGTTGATAAAGTTTACTTCATGACATTAATCAAAGGCATAATGGTCTTATGACATTTCGTGAGATTTTATTTACGTACTTCTCATTCATTGCTTTCATTTATACATGTACATTGACCCATGACCAGATGGCGTTACATACACATGTGTGTGTGTGTGTATATATATATATGTGATATGGAAAAAGGTTACAGCATTATGTATACATCACCACCTGATCAACTGGTATACGTTGATAATTTTGCCCACAATGGCCGAGATGATACGATGGGACGCCCTCAGAGGCCTGATCATGTTATGAGACATGTACTTATGCAGGACATGACATTCATACGCATATGCATGACACTATAATTATTTCATGAATTACAGAGTTATTCAGACTTACAGGTTGAGTCATTTATTCTATATTTCTTCCATATCTGTTATGTAGTTATTTATGTTCCTTACATACTCGGTACATTAAACATACTGATGTCCCTTTTGCCTGGGGACACTGCGTTTCATGCCTGCACATCCCAATAGATAGGTCGAGGGCCCTCCAGGTAGGCTATCAGCTCAACGGAAGATGTTGGTGCGCTCCATTTGCTTCAGAGTTGCTTATTTGATTAGTATGATTTAGACGTGTATTGTTTGGTATGGCAGGACTATGTCCCAACCTTTATGAAAATTATGTATTCTTAAATGCTTGTAGACAGATGTCATGTACGTAAAAGATTGTATGTCCTTGTCGGCCTATGTTCAGTATACGAGTGGTTATTTTCGTCGTATAGGCCCGTATGTCTTATGTATAAGTTAGTATCACATGTTGTATTCTACTTATGTCACGGCAACCTTCTGGCTCAGTTATCTATTATAGTATGACATGAAAAGTTACATTATGTTGGTACTCAGTTGAGTAAGGTACCAGGTTCCCGTTGCGGCCCATCGATTTAAATCATGACAAAAGTGGTATTAGAGTAGTTCTATCCTAGGGAGTCTACAAGCCGTGTCTAGTAGAGTCTTGTTTATGGGTGTGTCGTGAACTACACTATAAGTAGGATGCTACAGGGCATTTAGGACTATCACTCTTTCTTCTTAATCTAAATAGTGTGATAGATATCACTTATAAGAATTCAAACTCCTAACTTCTATTCGTAATAAGACGATACCCTCATCCAAAAGACGGTTGGTAAGAGATATAGCTATGGAAGAGTTTGAGTCAGAGGAACTCGATTTTTGCATCGTGCTTATGATGGATAAATATAAGGTATTCAACATGTCATGTATATACTAAAGATGTGTACTTCTTGATAAGGATCCCTAAGGCAAGAATGCCTATCCACTCTTACGGTAAAAAGGAATAAGATATTCGGAAGGTAGACACAAGTTTCAGCAAGTAAAATAAGCAAGGTGAAGAAGGGTATGAGGTGTCTAGTTAGTGACGATTAACAGTATCTACAATTCAAGCAGAGAAATATAAGCATTTTGAGTTACCTTCAACAGCAATGGAGATATATATAATTGATCACATCTATTTCAATTATGCCATATAGGGGCTGACAGGTGTAGTTTAAGAGAATGACGGAATATCAGGATCCGGCTGGGGTTAGAGTGACCCAAAATGGTGAATGGATTTTTTGAATTAGTACACATTTCCAAAGGATATTGCAAAGGTGCTAATAGATCTCCTTATGAGACACCCAGATGATGCACTCTAGAATAGTACAGCTAGATATGAAAACTAGAATGTTCAAAAAAAATATTACAAAGATAGGCACTGGAAGCCTGGAAGTGATAAATATTACCTTAGTGTGACTCCCGTACCTAGTAAAGAGAGAATGTTAGGCAACCCAAAGAGCCAGTGGATGGAGGAAAGGGGAGCTAAAAGCAAAAGAATATCTTGTTCGAGTTTTCAAAATGAAGTGATAGAAATAAATGTTAGCAAGAAAATAAGAAGAGAGTTAATGAAACATTATGAGTAATATGAAATACATGGATGACAACGGTGTATCAAAAAGAAAAAACAGTATATCCTCATTTCGAGAAATAAGTTCGTGACTCCAACGCGACTACCAGAAGGATAATCGCAAGGAAAGTAAGGTTCATCGATGATATGAAAGGACGCTAAAGATGCAGAGGTAAAACATATGTAGGTAGATCGTCGCAGCGCTAAATCTTAGAACTTCCCTAAAGGGGGGAATATGGAGCAATGTGGCAATAAGTCAGAATTAAGTGGTTCTAGTAGCTATGGAATGGTAAAGGAAGAATCCAATAAAAATAAGAAAGGAATGAGATTGCACTTATTCAAATCCCACAGATATTCTCTGATTCTAGAATATTATGCAACCACAACGTCAAGGAAAGGAAGTAAGGGTTCCTGTCCGGACTATTATTCATAAATAAGGAGATAATGTGAGGTGTAAGTTAAGACAAAGAAATAAATCAAGAAAGATAACGCGGAAATATTGATAAGAGAATGGGCCAACGAGTAGTTAGTAGTTAATTTAGGAAGAGCATCATTATGGCTAAACAAAAGGATATAGACAAATCAACAGATCGTGCAAGATAAACATAGTGAACCCCAACATGGGGAATTCAGTCTCGTAGATATGACATCGTGATCCTTGAGAAATTTTCAGATAGGAGTTGGGATCGTTAAAGGTATCGTATAAGTATTACTGAAATAAAAGAGAATGCCACTAGGAAGACTATCAAATATCAAGTTCATAAGCAACCCTACAAGCACAAGGGAATGGAGGTAAGTAACTATGGATAATTATAGGCGAGGAAGGACATCAAAAATTATGTCGAGTATACAATGTAATAAGCTCGCAGCTTCACAAGAGTCAGAGGGTCCTCCCTAAGTAATACAATGAAAGACTAGCTGATGAAAATAAGGAAGAAGGCTTCAACCTAAGAACAGTGACCTAAAGAAGAAATTGTCTTGTAACAAATGTACCACAACAACATTGTATGCACCTCATAAAAAAGTGGCACCTATCGTGGCTAATGAACGGGAGTAAAATCAAAAGTAATATTCGAGATGATATAAGTTGCACGAAAACTCTGACATGCGTGGGAACTAAGATAAGCTAAGTACGCACGCAACAAGAGGGCAGAAAGACCAGGAAAAGTAATAGCTTACATTTAAAGAAAGCTGAGAAGGAACGAAAAGAATTATTTGATTAATGATCCAGAGTTAGAAACGTACCGGCCTCATAAGAAGTCAGTATGGAGCTCCCATATAATCATGTATGCCACGCCCCGAACTTGGGCCTGGACGTAACACGACACTTAGTGCCTGACTGCATTTGACCGAGCGAACCAACTGGCTGGCTGAATCAACATGTGATATCATAACATACTAAATGCGGAAGATAAACTAACACCTGTTGATATACTAAAAGTCTGAATGATATAAATCAAAGTACGGAAATACTAATATAATTTCTGAAACATATTTGTAGCAAATATAGGTTAACATGAAAAACTTGAGACTCTGTCTAACTGTTACTGTAGTCTATGAATCCTCTATTGAAGT